CTGGTGTCCGCGAAGCCCCGGGCGAGGACCGCTGTCTTGGTGGGTCCGTAGCGGAGGTGCCCGCGGTGGCGGCGGGCGGCCTCCTGGAGGGCCTTGACCACTACCCCGCAGTGCGCTCGCGAGCTCGCCTTGGCCCGGACATCATCCACACATGCCCTGGGCCCGATCCTCGTGGTGGAGAGCGCGTCCAGGAGCCCCAGCCGGATGGCATCCGATGACACTGCTGCCATGCACCCATCCCAGTCTACATGGCCGTCGTTGAGGAGCTGCGCCCATTGCTGAGTTTCATGGACGTCCAGGTGATCCGCATCGGTCCCGTCTCTATGGGCGCGGTATGCCGCCAGCCCCGCCTCGGGCGGGTCCAGCCCAAGGCCCACACCCGGCACGCTCGCCACCTCCTCTTCCTCCTCCTCCTCCTCCTCCTTCCTCCTCCTCCTCCTCCTCCTCCTCCTCCTCCTCCTTCCCCTCCTCCTCCCCCTCCCCTTCCCCCTCCTCCTACCTCCTCCTCATCCTCCTCCTCCTCCTCCTCCGCCTGCCGGCCCCGTCTCCGCGTCCGCTCCAACTCCTCCTCCTCCTCTCTTCCTCCTCCTCCTCCTCCTCCTCTCCTCCTCCTCCTCCTCCTCCTCCTCCTCCTCCTCTTCCTCCTCCTCCATTCAGTACTACCCCTTCCCTCCCTACTAGCCACCTCTCACCTCGCCTCCTCGCCCCTCCTCCTCCTCCTCCTCCTCCTCCTCCTCTTCCTCCTCCTCCTCTTCCCCCCTCCTTCCTCTCCTCCTCCTTTCCTCCTCCTCCTCATCCTTCTCCTCCTCCTCCTCGTCCTCACTCCTCCTCCTCCTCCTCCCTCCTCCTCCTACCTCCTCCTCCTCCCCCTCCCCCTCCTCGTCCCCTTCTCCCTCCTCCTCCCCTCCTCCTCCTCCTCCTCCTCCTCCTCCTCCTCCTCCTCCTCCTCCTCTCCTCCTCCTCCTTCCTCCTCTCCTCCTCCTCCTCCGCCTCCTCCTCCTCCGCCTCCTCCTCCTCCTCCTCCTCCTCTCCTCCTCCTCCTCCTCCTCCTCCCCCTCCTCCTCCTCCCCTCCCCTCCTCCACTCCTCCTCCTCGGCTCCTCCTCCTCCTCTTCCTCTCCTCCTCCCTCTCCCTCTCCTCCTCCTCCTCCTCCTTCCTTCCTCCTCCTCCCTCCTCCGCCCCCTCTCCCTCTCCTCCTCTTCCTCTTCCTCCTCCTCCTCCTCCTTCCTCCCTCTCCTCCTCCGCCTCCTCCTCCTCCCCCCTCCCCCTCCCCCTCCTCCTCCCTCCTCCTCCTCCTCACTCCTCCTTCTCCTCCTCCTCCTCGTCCTCCGTCCGCGTCCTCGTCCTGCAGTCCTCGTCCTCTCGTCCTTGTCCTCGTCCTCGTCCTCGTCCCTCGTCCTCGGCGTCCCTCCTCCTGCATCCTCCTGCTCCTCCTCCTCCTCCTCCGCCTCCGCCTCCTCCTCCTCCTCCTCCTCCTCCTCCTCCTCCTCCTCCTCCTCCCCTCGCCCTTTCCTCGCACTCTTCCCTACTCCGCACTCTCTCCTCACCCTCCTCGCTCTTCCCCCATGCTTCCTTCCCCCCCCTCGTCATCGTCCCCCGCCGTCGTCGTCTTCTCCGTCACCTCCCGTGCCGTCGTCTTCGTTGTCGTCCCTGCCTTCGACGTCGCCATCGTCCCCGGGCCTCCGACGTCGTGATCTTCCCACAACGCGGGACCTCAGAGGCCTCGACCTCCCTAAGCCCCCGAGAACTGGCCCGTCGGCCCCCGTGGCCCGGCGAGGGCTCTATTGGATCCGAGAATGTCCGGAGACCTCCCGCAGGGAGTTTTCCAAGACGCCAAGACGTCAGGAGGGCTGGCCGCCGTTGCCGAGTCGCCGAGGGCTCCCTCGTCGAGCTGGCTGGCGTCGCCCTGCTCCTCCTCCGTCATGCTCCTTCTGCTTCCCTTCTCTCCCTGTCGTCGCTGTCTTCCTCCCTCTTGGAGGCCCGCGCTTACCTCTTCGATCGGCGCCGGACCCCCCTCTCCTGGCGCGCGGAGCGCGCTGGGGGCGGCGCTGGAGGTGCCGCCAGGGGGAGACGACCCCAGCAATCCGCGCGGACCTCCGACAGTCTTACTACGATTATTACCATCATCATTATTATTATTATTATTATTATTATTATTATTATTATTCTTATTCTTATTAGTACTACTATTATTACTCTTATTATTGTTATTATTATTATGATGCTAATCATTATCATTCTTATTATGATTATTCTTATTGTTATCATTATCATGATTATCATTATCATTAGCATTCTTCTTCTTATTATTATTATGATGATGACGATAATAATAATCATAATAACACTAATAATAATACTAATAATAATAATGATAATAATACTAATACTAATAACAATACTAGTACTACTAATAATACTGATACTACTAATACTACTACTACTAATACTAACACCAATAATAATACTCATGATAATAATACTAATAATAATAACATTATTAATAATGATAATACTAATATTAATAATAATGATAATAATACTAATAATAATACTAATACTAATTAGTATTAATATCACTAACATTATTATTATGAACAATAATAATCATAGTAATATTCATATTAACAATACTAATGTTATATTTTATAATTTTTGCATGTCGCAATGCCGTTCTTTGTTCCCCGACCCCACGAACATGGGAAATGATGCTATCCCACGCGATTGTCTTGGCCCCCGGGAGGTCGCCGAATCCCGGACTGGCCTCGCTCTGGCTGAGAGTCTTTGGCCTCTACAACTGCGGACTCGTCCGCTCCCACACTCGAGGAGGAAGAGAGCCGTCACCATCCTGTCCAACCTCCATACATTACAATGCCACTCAGCATGGGAGAAACGGGTCCCGAAGGAAACGGGCTGTGGACCCTGGGGCCTTCCCTCAGGACGAGTTCTTCATCCCGAATCGTTTTCTGCAGGCCGCGGCTGGTTCCCCGACTCTGCCTCCCATCCGCCGTCGCAGTCTGCTGCCTCGACGTCGTCGCCCTCTCCTCCCGGGCGGTCTCCTGGGCCCACTCCTGCGCCGCCCCGGCCCCTCGTCCCCCCCCCCCGCGGCGCGCGTCGAGGCGGCGCTGCCCGAGGCTGCCGGTCCCCTGACTCCCCCCCCCCCCGGCCTGGGGCCAGAGGAGCG